TCCAGAGGAAACTCTGCATGTTCACCAATATGAGCTGTTCTCCGCTTAGTTCCTGCCGCCCGAACGAAACTCAGAACAGTTGACAATTACCTGAGAAAAAGTAGCCGTAGGGATCCACCGAAGCAATTGATGGAAAAATGAACTAAGATTCACTGACATCTCATCATACTTTGTCGATTGATACGGCTCTCCGTTGCACATTTCTCACCATATCATCACTTTGCGGATATCTTATCAACCCGGCAGGACTATAAGTCACTCATAACGCTCCAAGAACTTTTGGCGGTTGTCGAATAATGGAGTCACTACACTCTACACAGTCTCTACACTTCATTAGATTTGCATTCGCAATGATCAGAAGGCGCAGAATTCGGTGATATGCACTGCGATGCTCCGTATCAGCACTTTCACTTCTTATTTCCATTCAGCTGTTACCACAACGCATGGTCGGTGGCAGACCATGTATGCATAGAATTGTGCACTGCATTATTAGCAGAAATATATTATGTAGATTTAAAAAGTAGTTTAATCTTTTCCTTTACCTCGTAGCTCTAGATTCATACCCTTCCTTACTGCTCACGATCATTCTCCTTTTCCTCCTCCCTTATGATTTCTAGAACTAAAGTCTACCTATTACGGCGAAGCGGCCAACCAACTGGATGATTCTGCGCTTTACCGGCTCTTATCAGCCCTTATCAGTTTTATCATTTTATAGCGCCCACCGATGCTTCATCCTGCCCCCTTACAGTACTTTTTGTAACTGAAGTCCCGTCATTGCTGTGGCCCACGCTACGAAGTTGGCGAGATTACCTGCCTAAGATCCCTCATAGTATCTTATCAGTTCTTGTCACGCCCTGCCACCCACCGATGAGTTCCCATCCTGCCCCTTATATTACTTCTTGGAACTAACGTCCCGTCGTTGCTGTGGCCCCTGCTAAGAAATTAATCACCTTCCCTTTCTAAGGCCCCTTATGGTATCTTATCAGCTGTTGAAACTCCCTGCCACCTACTAAAAGTCTTACTACTTGGATCCAAAGTGCCGTCGTTGCTCTGGCCGGCGTTGTGAATCAGGTAACCTACCCTTTCTAAGGTCCCTTGTGGTATCTTATCAGCTATCACGTTCCTGCCACCCACCAATAATGTTCCCATCCTGCACCCTATCTTACTTCTTGGAACCAACGCTCTAGCCTTGCTGTTTTCCGCGCTATGGAGCTGGTGACCCTCCCTTTCTAAGGCCCCTTATGGTATCTTATCAGCTCTTATCACTTCCTGCCACCCACCAATAATGTTCCCATCCTGCCTCCTATCCTTGGAACCAACGCTCTAGTCTTGCTGTGACGCGCGTTATGAATTTGCTGACTTCGCCTTTATACGGCCCCTTATGGTATCTTATCAACTGCTATCGCTTCCTGCCACCCACCAATAATGTTCCTGCCCGACCTCCTACATCATCTTATCAGTTTGAGCGCATTATCGCTGTTTTGAAGGAAGTTATGAATTTCCGGTCAAACACACATACAGACAACACACACACACACACACACCAACAGACAAACTTAGCGGATTATATATAGTAGGATGACTCGCGTAAGACACCACTTTCAACGCCGCTTTCCCCTTGGTGCCGCAATGTGGATGGCGCGACCGACACAATGTCTGGGTCCCAGAAGAAAAGCTGAAGAGTGCGTTCAGCTGTAACTATCAATTATTAGGGTGTCCGGAAAGTTTTGAGAAAATTTCGCTGCCTCACTTTGAAAAAGCGTAGCGCGCGAAGGCCATGAGCAAATCTGTAGATCAAAACATGGGAAGATAGAGGATTGTCTGTAGATCAAATTAGCCTTTGTTGTAACCAATCGAATAATATGCGACAGACACTACAGTCGACGCATCCTACTTCATCTTTACCGTTCCGGCCGCTCCGCCATTCAAGCGAGGCATGAGTCGCTGTCGTCGATGGGTGGCAATGCACCCTTTCTTGCAACCTGCTACAGGTGGTACGACCGCTTCGCAGTGGGAGAGTTTAGCCTCGATGAAGCACCTCGATGCGGACGCCCTCCCTCTTCCAACACTGACGTCGTTCTGGCTTCTGTGAGGACCAATCCTGCCAAAATTTGAGTGAGTTG